ATAAGCTAATTTTTCCTTTGGATAGCAGATCCAACTAAAAAACAAGAATACCTCTCCCTCTCTCTGTCATTTTCCATGATGGATTGTTATATCCAAATGGCGAAAGGTGTGGATTATCAACACAGTTTTGAAAAACTCAGTACATTTAGATGTACTCACAAAGCTATATGGATTCTTAAGAAAAGTTTCTACATTGGGAGCAGGGTGTCATCTCTATCGTCATCCGCTAAGGCATCATCCATTGCCTAAGAGAAAAAAATATAAATTTATCAATAATTAAATCAAAAGTCACATAAAGTCAGACACATGATCCTTAGGACCCATGGTCATCTTATGAGCATAGTGCCCCATCTGGCCGGAGCTTGTGCCACATTCCTTGGCAAAGAGCACATTTCAATTACCTGGTGTATGACCAAAACCAAAGTAACCACATTAACCAATCAAAACAAAGGAAAATAAACAACGAAATGGCCTGATGCACAGGAACATGCCACCAATTAAGTTGTGATTGGTTTTCCATCTGATTGGTTGAGAGGATGGCAGGAATTTTCTAGACAATCACAGACCATAGACAAGCTTATCCCCCTTAAAAAGATTACTTGCTGCACTTCAATTTTAAATATGACCCAAAACATTGTTCACTCTTGTAAAGTAATAGGAAACAGGCTGTGGCAGGGTACCTCCCACCCAACTTTCCCCTTCCTCCCAACACAACGTCCCTACTGGAGAGTTCCATTTCCTACTCAGCTCAAAGACACCCAGATGGACCTACTAATGGTTCCTAGCATTCATGAAGGCCCTCATCTTTAGTGCTGCAAGACACGTGTTTCTCTGACTGCTGCAATGTTTGAGACAAGTCAGGGAAAGGTTTGCTGGGAGTGTGGCATTATCAGTGCTAGATCCCTCACTGGCCTTCCCGAGGGCAAGATGTGCTAATGTAATGAGGGCCAAGGGCCTGCTTGCAGGCTAAAATTTACATAGTGACCTCACATACTGCTGGTGCAGAGTGATGGCTTGTTCTAGAATACTACTAGACTATGTCTTTGTGCCTTGAACCATTAATTTCATTGCATTCTACTTTGATGGCCTACCTTGTATCTTGTAGGACGCGACTCTGAACACCGACACATATAATTACATCCATCCTGAGAGAAAATAAAAAATTATAACAGTACTCAGAATCAAAGCACTAAACTTAAAACGTAACTTGAAGCACAGGTGGCCCAAGTTCTGTCACAGGCTCTTTCACAGTGGATTATTACAGAGTTTGTATAGTGGTTTAGTTGGACTTGCTTTCGAGCTCCGTAAATGTAAAGTTGTGTGAAATAATCAAAGAAATAAAGTCTTACTTTCATAGAGAGTAGCCTGTGTTGTTCTCTTCGTGATTTGAGGACATTTTGATGTGTTTTAGCTTGATGCCCTAACCACCACCGAGTCACATACACAAGATATGGGAAGGTAAGAAACTTCTGTTGACACACACTTGCTAAAATCGCTCGGATCGGAAGCAACACTTAAGTACTTTCCCTCAAATCAAAACTTGGCAGCACGAAAGCCAAATAGTAGCCCTTTAACTTCACCAAAAAAAGTCCCACAAAAGTCGGTTTGTCGAGCAACCAATCCAGCAAGAATTTCAACTTAACAGCCGTTCTGAATTCTTCTAATGCATGGAAGGAACATCTTGTGCAGCTGAGAGACTGTTAGTGCGCGGTCAACCTGGATCCTAGTCAAATTGAGAGATTTGACGAGGGTCCAGGTTGACCGTGCATTAACGGTCTCTCAGCTGCACAAGATGTTCCTTCCATGCATTAGAAGAATTCACAACAGCCGTTAATTTGAAATTCTTGCTGGATTGCTTGCTCAACAAACCGACTTTTGTGGGATTTTTTTTCGTAAACTTAAAGGGCAACTATTTGGCTTTCGTGCTGCCAAGTTTTGATTCAAGGGAAAGTACCTAAGTGTTGTTTTCGAGTGATTTTGGCGAGCATGTGTCGACAGAAGTTTCCTACCTTCCCGTATCTTGTGTACATGACTCGGTGGTGATTAGGGCATCCAGCTAAAACACATCAAAACAGCCTCAAATTGCGAGGAGAACAACACAGACTACTCTATGAGGGTAAGACTTTATTCCTCTGATTATTTCACACAACTTTACATTTACAGGACTCAAAAGTAAGTCCAACTAAACCACTATACAAACTCTTTAATAATCCACTGTGAAAGAGCCTGTGACAGAGCTTGGGCCACCTGTGCTTGAAGCTGAAGAAGTTTGTAATTTTTTCCCTGAGCCATGTTACCATTTACAAATTATTTGCATGCAGAGGATGAAAGCTATTTGAGACACACCATCTACATAATTATTTGGATTGACTGTTTGGACATTTCTCTCAGAAAAATGCAAAAACATAACAAACAAAAAGAAAAGGAACAATTTCAGCAAAGTTTGGATGTATTTGTTACTTTGTGCAGTATTCCTCTTCAAGGAAGTGTTTTGATTTACAAGAACAGAAAAGTTCTCCCTTTTAAACCCTATAACCTCCAAGATCTACAGCTGTATAACCTCCAAGATCTGCTTGTTAATTCTTTCCTCTGGCTGCCACATGTTTCCTTGTTAATCAGTTGCAAGAATTTGGTGTTAGATCAAGGTAATAACAACTTCTTCCTGATAAGTTTAAGTATTCTCAATTCCTGTTTGCTGGATAATGTATAGATATTNAGACAGACAGACAGACAGACAGACAGACATCTATATTTATACAGGATAGCCCCTTCAGTGTAGTAAACACTGGTATCAACGGGGGTCCTGTTACCCACCCAACCCACCCCAGGGGAGGACATCCATCACACAGTAATCTCGTGCGTGGGAAATTAACGTCTCCTGCCCCTAACCCTGCAGGAGACGGGACCTCCATTTATTCGTCCCTATCCGAGAAGACTAGAATATCTAACCAATTCTTGATGTTAAAGAAAGGAAGCATATTCTTCTCAGTTAATTTTAAGACCCTGAGTGTTGGTCCGGCCGGTATTGAACTCTCGACCTCCCGCACAGCAGTCCGGCGCTATCCCAATTGAGCTACAATTGAACAAGTTATTTGATTGACTTAACTAAAAAAAAAAACCTGTTAAGTTCTTGATTTTTCCTTGTAGGTTTCATTTCTTTACTTTATATTGTTGAGATTCAGACTCAGATTACTTTCAATTGGAAAATCAGAGCAAATAGAACAACTTTGTGAAAGGGATGGTCTGGCCCTTTCTTTTAACATCTCCACCTCACCCAAAAACAGTGAGTAATTTTTTAACACCCCAAAAATGTCTCCCTTAAATTGTGCATTCATGTCAATCCAATTTCTTGATTTCCTCTGCTGCATGAGGGAATACAATAATACAATACTTTATTTCAGAACAACATGCAGATACATAGTTATTAAGAAAAAGGAAACCCAGAGGTTGGCCCTATATCAACGGTCTCCTATTTATGTAAAAAATCTTACAGAACTAGTTAATAAAAATACAAAAAAGTCAAATAAGAAACAGCTAAGGGAGGCAGAACTCTGCTAACTCAAACCCCCACCAACTCGAACAAGATCCCATTTCCTTCAGATTTGACCCCAACTTTCCAGTCATTTCCAATCCATCTAACTCAAACTTGGTTAACTCAAACCATTCTTCATTTCCATTGAAATTTTGCATAAGTGGGGTTCTACAGACTATTGTATACTGTAGTTAATAAATTTACAGTGTACATGAAATTCAAAATAAAAGAAAGCAAACTTAGTCAAAAAGTACAATACTCACATTATCAACATAATAGAACCAGGACTCAAATGTTTTGGCTTTACTGTGCATGCTGCATCATTATTGAGTTCAAACAGGTAATAACACTCCAGTGGGTCTACTGGGTCTTTGAGTGAACTTGCATTTCTGTATTCTTCAATGATACGCATCGTTCCCTGTATAAGGACAAAATAGAATTTGGTCCTTCCTTGATGTACAATACATGTTTTTTATGCACAAAGGAAGCACAAATGACAAAAACTAACACACATTTTTTCTCTTCTACTGAAAATTAAAGTTCATTTCTTTTTAGCACCCTGAGCTAACATTAACATTAACATCCAATCGTCCCTTGATGTACACTGTAAAGAGGAAAACAAAGCATAAAGATTCTTTTTCGCAAATAAACATATATTATTTCTGCATGGAGGAAGCACAAGATAGGCTCATCTTGCAAACCAGGTAGCCAATCCAAACAAAAGTTTCATTCCATCTTGCCCACAGGCACTGCCAGCCATTTACAATGCAATAAGTATGTGTTACTGACCAAGAGCCACCAGCCATGATAAGTAATTCTTCACTTACTGTCTATCATCTTACCCTCTCTACTCCTGGATCACACGTTACCAAAACAATGCCAATTCTTTCTAAGTTATGGCAGTGGGAGGTATATTTATTTCCATGGAAGTATTTTATCATCAACCAGTCGGCTGAAAAATTAAATTTCATGTATTAATATTATTAAAAGTTTAAGTTAAATCCTGATCTAGAAATTTAAACCAAACTCTATAAAAAAATTTAAACTACTACTAACAATGTAGCTGTTGAGGAAAGTACAGTTAGCTGTACAAGTTGATTTTTAAAGCTTAAGTTTCCCCCAGTCACAAGTAGAGAGCAGAAGAATCTGGAAAAAATGTCTGTTTATCTCCCCAATATATCTGTGAAATCTGGGAGGGTCAGGAAACTGTGATTTGTCAGTGTCTGAGATTTTCCCAATTTATGAAAATCAAGTTCAAAAGAGACTACACTGTTATCACTGCAAGTAAAGTCAAGCAGAAGGAGATTGCTAAGTCATCAAGCCTGGTGAATTTAACCTTGTGAGCAAAAGGTAATCATTTATAAAATCACGGTCAATGATCTCTCAGACTATAAAAAAAAGATGCTCACAAGTTTTACATCGAAAAGGGAACGATGTTTTTAATGAATGACACAGGCATACTCAGAAAAAAAAAATTATCCATGCATCAAGTTTGAATCAAGTCACATACTTCCACCAGTGACATGGGCATTCTCGTAGGTTCCCACTAGAACCCAGTTTGCTTCTTCCTGTTTCTTGCTACGTTGCTGAATTGCTTGGGTATCTCCCTTACCCTCACTACAGATTGAAACTTTATACGTATATTCACCCTTTTCATCCTCAACAAGGTAAACCCTTAAAGAAAAAAAATTCACTTTTAACCATTAAGCGAAAAAACAATCGTATAAATTTGAGAGCTTCTTGACATACACGTAACAAAAACTTGTGCAAGCCCAGTTTTTCAGAAATATACAAAAAAATATATGTTGGAACATTTGGAGACAATATACTGTAAACATGTAAGTAGTTGTGAATTTCTGTCAGTGTTTCGTTAAGTTAAAGCATGTATTAGGCTTCGTTATACCTATTAAGTTTTCAGAGGATCATTATAATTAGTAATGCCCACAGGAGCTGCTTCTTCATAATAAAAACATGTAACTTACCACATTTCGTTTAGTAAAAAAGTTGGGTTTGTAGCAATGCATTATTCTTTTTACCGGTTAAATCACACATGTTCTGTAACACAATTTAATAGCTGGGTTCTCATCTTACATGTGTAAGATATTTTATTTCTTGCAACTGAAGTGAATTTTTAAAGTGCACCTACACCCAAAAAATTTTTTTCGCTTAACGAAGTAAGCTTATTTTTTTGAGTATTTCTGCGCAAAAATTTTTTTATTTGCTCAAATCTTCAATTTTCTATGCCCAGTCAAAATACGGAAAATCGGCCGCCATCTTGCCCCACGACCGAGTTTAAAGAGGAATGGCTCTAGTGGGTAATGTGACGTCAAATCGAGAACACGAAAGTCTGC